TCAGCCTGGAGTCCAACCTAACTAAGGTAACTACCCCATCCCGAGGGGTGATTTGACGGGCTTTCCCTGTTCTAGGGAGTCAGGGACCCCCAGTCGCTTTTTCTCTCCAGATATTTATTTCTCTATCCATTGGACAGGCAAGAGAAAAGAAGAACAAGACCAGTCAGGCATGAGGATGTCGTTTTGAATTCATAAGGAGTACAGCCAGCTTCCCCCACTCCCCTTTTCACCACTTATCTTGACTCCATACTGTCCGTCCTTGCCCGATCAACACTTCGCTTTCTCTTTCATCATTGTATAGATTGCTCGTTTCCTATTTCTGGACGAACTAAGCCCTCCTTTTTTCCTGTAATTTCCTCTTTTACAGTCGTCGTCGAGACTTCCCACTTGTGCTATTGAACGCCGTAAGCTCTCCCCTCCCTCCCTTAGCCTTGGAACGACTTCATGTCTTGTGGATGCTCTTGTACTCACTCACTCAGACATAGATAGATCCTACATTGTTGCCGCCATGTTTTTCTCCCAGCAACCAACCCACCAGGCTCGTGCCGAGGAATTGAGACAAGAACCTCCCAAGGGCACTCCATATTCGGTTGCCATTCCTGGCACCGAGCAACCCGGACGGAGCAAAGTCTACCGTGCTTGGAATCTCCAGAATGAGCTTTTAAAGACCTTGGACCCCAAGGTATGCGCCGAAGACTCACACCCTCAGTGTCTCACCGAGCTGCTGCGGAATACCATGGAACCTCCTCACGACTAACCCCTGATCCTGTCTGTCTAGATTCTCACGGCGCATGATGTCTTCGAGTCGACCGCGAATCGAGCCCCAAAAGCCCATTGCCTCGGATGGCGTCCTTACGACCCGGTCACAAAGACCTATGGCCCGTACCAGTGGCTGGACTATGAAACCGTTCGAAAGCGAAGAGTCGCATTTGGTGCCGGCTTGGTGGAACTACACAACAAGCATGGCTGCGGACGCTCGGGACCATACGGGATTGGATTGTGGTGTCAAAATCGGCCAGAATGGCAGATAACTGGTACGGGGTATTCCCCGCTTCTCCTTCGCCTGCTTGCTCAGTATTGTTCCTGGCCTCTGACTGAAGTTTGTCATCGCAGATCTGGCATGCATGTCCCAGTCCCTCTACTCGGTCTCGATCTATGATGTCCTCGCCTCGGATGCCACCGAATATATTATCAACCATGCTGAACTGAGCTGTGTTGTCACTTCCTTGCCGCATATTCCCACTCTGCTCAAGCTCAAGGCCTCTTTGCCCAATCTTAAGATCATCGTGTGTCTGGACCCTCTGGATGCTGGCGAACCCGCCGGCCACTCAAAGCGTGCGCTCCTGGAATCCACCGCTGCCGGTCTGGATGTCGCAATCTATACCATGGATCAGGTTGAGGAACTGGGCACCGCTTCGAATCGTCCGTGCGTCCCCCCGTCTCCTTCGGACATCGTCACTATCAACTATACCTCCGGCACTACCGGCCCTCCAAAGGGTGTGGTCTTGACCCATGAGAATGCCGTGGCTGCCGCCTCTGCCGCTCTTGTCAACATTCAGCAGGCCCCAGGTGACACGAGTTTGTCTTATCTCCCGTTGGCCCATATCTATGCCCGTTTGGCGGAGCATACCGCTTTCTGGGCGGGCGCGCGTATCGGCTACTTCCACGGTAACATCGTGGAACTGGTTGACGATATCAAGGCGTTGAAACCTACGGCATTCTTGTCTGTCCCACGTCTCTACAGTCGCTTTGGCAACGTCATTCGTGGTGCCACCGTAGAACAACCCGGCTTCAAGGGTGCTCTGTCAAGACACATTGTTGCCGCCAAAACTGCCAATCTGAAGAATCCCGACCCTAGCAAAGCCACCGTGAAGCATGCTCTATACGACAGAATCTGGGCCAAGAAGGTCGCTGCGGCCATTGGATTGGAACGGTGTAGATTCATGGTTTCTGGCTCGGCGCCCCTGGATCCCTCCTTGCACAACTTCCTGAGAGTTGCACTTGGAGTCGACTTCATCCAGGGTTACGGTCTGACCGAGACGTACGCCATCGCAAGCTCGCAGTCTGCGAAGGATCTTACCGCCGGCAACTGTGGGCGCCTCGCTCCTTGCACCGAAGCCTGTCTAATGTCTCTGCCTGACATGGAATACTCGGTCGATGACAAGCCTTTCCCACGGGGTGAGTTACTTCTGCGCGGTACAAATATCTTCAGGGAATACTTCAAGAACCCGGAGGAGACAAGCAAAGCAATGACCGAGGATGGTTGGTTCCGCACTGGGGATGTTTGCACAATTGATGAAATGGGTCGCTTTATTATCATCGACCGCCGGAAGAATGTCCTCAAGCTCGCCCAGGGAGAGTACATCTCTCCTGAACGGCTTGAAGGTGTCTACCTGTCCGAGCTTAGTTACTTTGCTCAAGGCTACGTTCATGGCGACAGCGTTCAAAATTTCCTGGTTGGCATTTTCGGTGTCCAGCCCGATACATTCGCTCCATTTGCTAGCAAACTTCTCGGTCGGACAATCGATGCTACAGACATTGAGGGACTGAAGTCGGTGCTGAGTGATGACAAGGTCCGCAAGGCTGTGCTGAGGGACCTCGAGAAGGTCGCCAAGAAGCACAAGCTTGCTGGTTACGAAAGGGTCAAAAACTGTGCTTTGCTCATTGAGCCTTTCTCAGTTGAGAATAACCTGCTGACCCCAACGTAAGTAGCCGTCTTCTTTCCGTGCAGTATTGCCATTGCTTTCAGACACTAACACTGGTTTTCTGTCTAGACTCAAACTGAAGCGTCCTCCTACCGTGAAGAAGTATCGCCAGCTCCTGGACCAGCTTTATGCGCAGGCTCTGGAAGAACAATCTGCTCCCAAGGCTAAGCTGTAGGTGTGGGTTGACTTCATGTATGGAATTATACCGGTACTTCAAGTTATCTGTGCTCGTGGTGTAGTATAGCCAATCTCTTAAAGCAATGTACATATATTTGAATGGTGTTTGGCCTTGCGGAACAGCAGATAGTGCACATGCCATATTTTCTGTATCTTGCTTTCAGACCCTGGTAGCTTTCGAATATCATTCGTCGTGCCCGGGTGGTATTGATATCTTGCGTTTCGTGTCGAGATCCCGTTTGCAATGCCTTTGGAGAGGGGAATTGACTACGAGATAGGTCTACAACCGCTTCATTAGTCAGATAACTCGCCTAGTTGGAATGAAAACTTGTACATTCCCCTGTCCCCATCGAAAGCTTGAAATGCTCAGGTTGTAGTCAGTGACGTGCTGATGGCCGACACTGAGCCGATCGCCTTGCACGGCAGCAGGCTATGTAAGCCCAATATCAGCCATATTCTGCTTTTGCTATGAAACTTATCCAAATGACAAGATCCGGAACACCAAATATTGCATGTCATTAGTAGCATTGTCGCTTATGCAGGCGTAGGTTGATGCAGAAAATAGACGAATGACTGAGAAGCTTGGCACTCACTCACATCACCACGCCTTCGACACATGCAGTTGTGCTCCATCCAAACGACATCCCTTCTTCGCCTAACCGCCTACGACATTCTCCAAAAATTGTGCGAGGAAGCTGCTGTCCTTTTCAATTCTGCTCTAGGCTCAGCTCCTCCCTCCCTTACAATCATGTTATTCCTCAGGTCGTCTCTTTCCGCCCTTCTCCTTTTCGCTGCTGCCACCACGACTGTATTGTCGTCTTCCCTCACAATCACCGTTCCTCCTTCGAATCTCCTACCCAATCCTAACACCCTCCCAGCTGGGACACACGCGACTTTGACCTCATTACCGTCACCGAAGGATAGGGAAGATGCCATCAGTCACCTGCCTCATCCCTTGACAGCTCCGCTCACCCGCTCGGCTTCTTTCGTCTTCCGGAACCTCAAGGCGACGAAACCGGAGTCCTATCTGCTCGATATCCGATCAGCCGAGTATATATTTGCCCCGTATCGGGTGGATATCTCTGCTGATGGGACTGTCCTGGGCGTGTGGGAGACTTACCGGGGAAACCCGTGGGACAATCGGGGCCCGGAGAAGTTCGTTGTCGATGCTGCTGCTGGCAACGGCGCCAAAGCCGCAGAGGTGACGGTGGAAGCCAAGGTCTTGGCTAGAAGAGGATTCTATGAAGAAAGAGCTAGATGTGAGATGAATTCCACTCTCCTTATTGCAGTCGCGGAGAATGCTTTCTTTGACCTTTGGGCGCTCGAAATGATGTGTATGCTGACAAGATGCATCGTGCCAGTCTCGCCTCTTTCGCTCTTCAAAAACCCTATGATCTTGCTGGCTTTGGTAGCACTGGGGTTCACCTTCGGAATGCCGAAACTTATGGAGAATAGTAAGTCGCTTTGCTACCATTAGTTCCTGCCTATACACACCTTGCCTGCTTGCTAACTTATTTGCCAGTGGACCCGGAAATGCGTGCTGAATTCGAGAAGCAATCACGCTCCTCTCCGATTTCTGGCGCTACGCGAAATGCTATGGCTGGTGGGGGCGCGCCTGGGAATTTCGATCTCGCCGGCTGGATGGCTGGTGCCACTCCAAGGCAAACCGCTGAGACGGATTCTGGAGCCTCCCGGGGGGCCGCAACCGGTCGGGAAACTGGAGGTAATACGCGCAGACGAGGTTGACAGGCTATTTCGCTGGCTTCGTCTTAGCCAGCTACTCGCAAAGATATTTCCTTGATATCGGTCGAATGAATTCTATTACCGACTACATACGGATCTCAGCCCACCGGTATAAGAGTATAGAAAGTAAGTAATAGATCACAAGCAAGAATACTATTTACATGATCATCATCAACATCACATCGTCGTGGGGAGCGAACAGAAGCAAGTCTGTGTACATGCGCATCTATTGATACGCTTTAGAGCATCTTCGACAGACGCAGCTGGCGAGAACGGACAATTAAGCCCGCACTCTCGTGTCCCATCAACTTAGAAACTGAAATCAAGGCAGGTGAAGACAAGCGCAAACAAAGCGTGCGACATATTTCAACAAACTCAAAAGTCACCGCCAAAGTCATCGCCGCCACCAACGTCACCACCGTAATCATCACCATAGTTATTAACGATCGTGTCCCCGTGGTCATCGTCGAATGCTTCTGCAAGCAGAGCACCGCCGAGCAAACCGCCTCCCACGCCCAAAGCGGCAGCGCCTGCAGTGCCCATTCCGCCGCTCCGCCGCGGTGGCACCGCTGCAGGATACTGGCCACCCTGTGACGGGTACTGAGGATATCCATAGCCCGCGGGCTGCGGTTGCGGGGGGTAGCCACCCCCATAGTAGCCTCCTTGCTGATACCCGTAAGGTTGCTGCTGAGCAACAGGCGGTCTTCCATAGTGGGAGCTACTACTACTGCCCGAGCTTTTGCCCATCAACTTGCTCAAAAAGCCTCTGCTGCGCTTCTGTTCAGAGGCTGGCGCAGGACCCTGAGACTGCTGATAACCCGTCGATGACAGCGGCCTGGAACTTCCGCTGTAGTAGTCTGCCGCCGCGCCGGGATGCGCAGGGCTTCTGCTTTGAGCTCGAGCATCTTCTTCTGCCTGTAGCTGAGCAGCGAGACGAGCATCGCTATCCAGGGTATCATTCCTGGATTCCGCTTGGTTGTAGGGATTGTTCGACCCCATGGTCTTCTTGTCGTCAGTTGCAGCAGCCTGAACAGCCGGGTTTGCAGGACCAGAATCATTGTATGACGGTGGCGGCCCGCTTGGCGGAGCATGCTGCTCTTCTTTCTGCGCTGGAGCCTCAGGAGGTTCCCATTGGGATTTGCCCGTGTGCAAGTTCACAAAGAACCTTGAGTAGGGTGAATTAGATCCAAGGGATTGACAGCAATTTCAAGATGGAAGCCGTAAGGGAACTCACCATTGCTTGTAGCGGTCGTCATATTGAGCCTTCCATCCTTCTGGAACGGAAGGCGGCGGAGGTCCAGGAGGCGGGGCAAATGACATGGAGAGGAAAGAGATGAGCGACTCGGTCTTAGGGACGGTCAACAACAATATATCCAAGTACTTCGATTGCGAAGGATCAAAAGGGTTTCTTGTATCAGACTCGTGAGAGCAGTTAAAGAAGAAGGGACAGAAATTTGGAGATGGCAATGTTGTTCACTATGGTTCCAGCAGTAGGGTGTGATCTCACATATAAATAGCTATGGCCACCTAGCCGGTCACCACTTTGCAGTGCCCTGTGGCGGTGCCGCGACACTAAATACTGCTGATTCGACGACTGGCAGTAGACTAGATGTTGATATTATTACATAGGCACTAGAGAGTTAAAGCACCTTTCTAATGGTGCCTATGATCTAGATACTCTCTAAATACTTCATAGGCTATAGCAAATCAATTAAACTGAGCTATAAGTTCACATCTGGAACGAGCTTTAAAATATGGTCTAATTTAAGGTGTAAAGATGTGATAAAAGCACTCTTTCTTATGTAATTTTTATCATGAGTTTAGAGAGGTACTCTTCAGAGGCATAGTCCCTAGTAATTTAGCTATCACCTAATAGGGCAAAACAACACCATATGAAGCCAGATCCTGAGTCCTGACATCTACCTATGGAGTCTCCCGACTTCTAGTATATTAATATCATTACTATAAACGTACCATGTTCTAGACCATGATATGAATTAATTTAAAAGTTCAGCATGCCATTCATTCCCAACTCATAAAAGCCACAAATCAATAATCATATCATTGTGAATGAAAATATGAGATGCACAACATGTGAAGGTGATATAGATAGAATAGTCCTCAAGAGGGCGGTGACCTGCCCCATAGCCCCCTTGATCTTGCCCAGCTTATGCTTCTTGTGGAAAATTAGGATCAACCTGGCCACTGTCTGGCCACCAAAAATCCTCTTCAAGCCCGGCTTCCAGCTTTTCAAGCAAAGAGCCCATTTTAGGGAACTCAGAGCAAGGTGACCTAACTCTCGCAGTACTTGGATCCTCTTCTGAATCGGTATCAGTGTCACCTGTTAGGTCGATGACCTCACATCGAAGATCGGCAATGCCCATGAAGTCTCCAATGTAAATGCGCTGACTTTGCGCTCGTCTTTCAGGGCCCTGATTATCTTCTTCATCACTGCACAGATCAATGACATCAACAGCCCGTTTCCTTTTATATTCGTTTCGCCGCTGGTTGCGAATCCGAGCAAGTTGAATATGAGCCTCCACAAGTTGCCGTGATTCCTTGTCCAAGCCAATGCGATCCTTTGGGGCCGGCCCATCGAGCTGTCGCATCTTAACATCCGGTTTGAGACTGGCAAGATGAGGTTGATCTGGGTTCCCTGGGCGAGCCCACCCTGCAAAAGGACCATCATAATGAGGACCTTGACCCACTCCAAAAATAGGGTGTCTTTTGAGCTTCCCAGAATTCAGTAGCTTTCGCGCCGCTACAAGCCCAGACTCTGAATCTGATGCGTGATCATCGCAGGGTGGCTGAGCTGCGTGCTTGAATTGCATTTTTCGTTCATCTTCATTTGGGTCTCTGCCCTCACGAGGCGAAGAGGTTGAAGTAGAGAGGATATGGATACCCCCGCCTGCGTCTCCAATCAAGAGATTTGACTTATCACTTGAAAAGGCACCGCACATTATCTCCTCTTCAATTCCAAAGACGTCCTTGGTAAGAGCATCCTCTTGAGATAGCAAGATATTCCATTGCTTAACAATACCGTCTGAGGCCCCTGTGTAGAATTGGTTGATTTCGTCCCCCCACAAGGCCATTCTAACACCTACATCATCCTGCTCCCTCTCAAGTAGTTCATCTAACTGGTTAAGAGGTTCACCATGAGGAAGCTCTAGCAGAACTTTGTCTCGTTTGCGATAGTCCCAAACATATGTTACGCCATTAGTGCAACTGGCGGTCACATAATATGAGTTCATTGGGCAGAAGGTGATATCATTGATATCCAGCGCAGGACACTCAAACTCAATTGTCTGAGATTTCCACTTCAGTGGCTCAAAAACACGGACCACAGACCTGGTTCCCCGGGACACTTGGCTCTGGCCTACCGTACTTGCTGTGGCAAATCTCGGCAAGGTTGGGTGCCATTTGATATCAAATATATTCTGAGAATTAGGCTGAAATGGGGTTGGGGTTATTGAAGCCTCACCCACATGCCACCCAGTGAGAAAGCCATTCGGGGCTGGGCACGTGTGCGGTAGGCCATCATCCCTCTCGGACATCCCAGCGAGCAGTAAATGTTTAGTATCATGGGTACTCCCCCAAGCCAAGCAAGTTGGTGTCAGATCTCTTCTAGACTCGATCGTCAGGGGAGCATCTCTTGACTCCATGATGTTCCATAGCCTGAAAGATTGCGCGCCGGTCGCCAGCAGATTCTCTTGGAAATTTGAACGCGCCATGACTAATACTTTCGATTCATGTGGGAGCGTTTTGTGATTTGTTATCCGGTTGCCAGAAAACCTCCAGAGTTTCACTGTATTATCGTAGCTGGCAGTAAAAAGTGTATCATCGAACCACTGCATAGCAGTAACACTCATGAAGAGACGGTTGTCACTTGTGGCCCGCTGAGAGGCAACCCTCCCAGGAGGGCGAATTATATAATGCCCAGGCACCTCCTCGAGGCGATTGCACGTCAAGTCCCCAATGACCAAATTGTTGCCCCGATTGTACTCCATATTGCCCTCATCACATTGGGCCGTGGCGCCCGCTGCAAATCTGGTACCGTCAGGCGACCAAGCCAGGACATTCACGTCATTCGAAGCACCTTTCCAGGCCTTCAGAAGACTGAAATTTGATTTAACCTTAGTTCGAAGCTGTCGCTTTACAGCCCCTCCTAGCTCACGATTCTGCAGTAATGTGTTCACATTGTTCAGAGCTCGAATGGAACCAAAGACTGAGGAGCTGCTGCTACTATCAGTCACTCGAGCAGCCTGAATAATTGAAGGCGATGATGAAAGGTGTCCATTCCTTGCGGTGTGGATGAATGCATCAATATCGGCATGCTGACGTCGATAAAGTATAGAGGCGTGAGGCAAGCAGCTTAGGAATATCTGGAGTTGTTGTTTGATGACTGCGGGTGAAGCGGACAAGACTCCATCGCCTGCCACACCCTGGAGAGTAAGAAGTTGAATAAGACAATGCTTCACAGACTGCTGATTCTTGCTTCTGGCTTTTAAGGTCCATACTTCCCAGAGCCAGGCGCTGGTATCAATGACTGCCTCGTTTGAAATTAATCTGGCAAGTTCGCGCAGCAAAGAGATTTTCTTCGCAAAATCCCGATGGACATCATGCCTCGACAATACTGCGATAACCTGATCACTGATTGAGACTTCTGAGACCCGTGAATACAGACATCCATGTGATGATAATAAATCCAGCATAGCTGTCATCTCGTGCAAGTCAAAATCAACATGCAAAATTATATCACTTGACGTTGTCATGGACTCCATGTATCTCCTGGCATATTTGACAGGATTGCGTTCTCGGCAGAATGGTGCGTGTTTAAGATCTTTGAGGTCGTCAAGAGATCTGAAATTCAACTGGAAAACCTGCACCCCTCGCGAAGAATAGATGATACGCTTTTCAGCGTGAGAAACAGGATCAGTATTTGAGTTCAGGTGAAGGCGCTGGGATGATTGATTGGAAGGATTATGATTCTGCCGATTGCGTGCCGGTGAGCCGGTGTTGACTGATTTTATGTCTCTACCGGCTGAAGGACCCTCTTCTGAGTCAGATTGAGAGAGGCTAATCACAGGATAATAATTAATTTGCTTGTTTCTCGAGCGAGCAGAACGTCGTGTCCTTGGCGCTGGAGACCTGGTCGAAGATGGAGTTGGAGATGATGAATCTCGTTCGAGAGATGGAGAAGAATTCTCCGTCTTTTTGTCCATACTCGACAAATTAGATGTTGACCTTTTCCTCCCAGGAGTCGGCAAACTAAGTACCTTGGAATTATAATTCCTGCCTCCCGACGAGACTCCCAGATCGGTAGCTGTGCTGAAACCATCATTTATGGTGCTAGAAGCGCTATGCAGAGATGTCTGAGAGTGGAAAACTGTCTCGAAGTTGTTGCAGGACACTCGCTCAATTTTCTTGGTACTCCTAGAAGAGGGTTCCATAAACTTCGATAGCAGTAATTTGTGCTCTTCAATGAGCGCAGGATCATCAGATTCAAGGCGTTGGTGGTTCGATGCGCAGAGATTCATCATCCCTGCTATTTTCTGGGGTATTGCACGATGTAGCATCGGGACTGGCTTGGAAGGGATTCTAGTGTCCTTTGTCTCCCAGTAGATCGGATACTGAGATACGGACGAATTGCCTATACAAACAGATATCAGGGCCCCATACAGCAAGAGAAGGAGCCCGATCCGAGGCCGCAAGGTGAATGAGGATGAAGAAGCAAGAAAAAGAACAGCATAAGTAATACATTGGCAAGAGCGTCTCCTAACTCACATAGCGGGTATAGGTTGGTATGTTCTGAAGAAAAGAAGGTTGTAGACCCTTAACTTTTAGGTTTTGAATGAGTGGACTAGTAGATGAGAGACAAGAGGGAAAGAAGAACAGCTTTGTAGCACTGGAGGTGTTGTAAATATGAGAAGATTATTATCAGAGGCCGCCGTTTAGCAAATTCACTGCGTGACGCGTGAACGCGGCACCAAACCTAAGCAAGGAAGATTCATATCATTTTATGCCAGCACTAATAAAACACTTTAAAGCAAGATATAGCAGGCGGTCAGCATGTGGACTTCCTAATAATCATAGAACTTGGAATAATAATAATCAGCTCCGGACCCAGATGGAGCAGGGCATGTGACTTGTAGCCATGAAGATGACTAACCATAACTGTATGCCGTGGAGATTTGTGCACTAAGCATGTAGAAAGTTACAATCTGGCTGCAACTCAGGCTGGACACCTTGCAGACAGAAACAACCCTTGTCAACTTCATCAGCCAGCGTGCTTATACGTCTATGCGGCTATATAGATGACCTCATTTCTCAAACGCTGCTATTTTCAGCTCGGTCCGGAAGTCCTACCATAGCCCACCCCAGAGAAGAAATGTGAAAACTCGCCTAAAGAGGCTGATTTACATTCTAGTTATGTACATGGAAAACACATCAATGAATGATTCACGGAATAAAGAACAGCTGAAGAGAGCGGTATTCCGAAGTCTCAAACCAGCTTTCTGCCTTGCGATCATCAGGGCAAAAATGCATGTCCCCGGGTCAGTCAATCAAGCGGAGTATCCAGCTTTCAGATAGCCTGAATGTGAGCTAAGTCGAAGTCGGATTGGGGCGGAAAAGATGGATGGTGTGCCAGAGCAAAAATTATATGACAATTGTCAAAGCTCGACTCGACAGCTATAGTCCGTAATGCCCGACTTGCCCAACTTAAGTCGACAAAGAAGTCTGCCTGGATAGGAAGATGCCGTCTATTTAGATAGTCGAGATCTCTTCCGAGCCGATACCATCATATCATACAAAACGTCCTTGAAAGCAAACAGGAAAGCCGCGGTAATCGCACTCTGCGTAACTTTTGGAACAATTCCTGCGTAGTCGTCAGCTTAGTTTGCATTGTCTGCCCGGCATACGCATATTCAGCTTACCTTTGTACAGACCTGTGTATCCTTCCTCCCTGATAATTCTCTTCAAGCTTCCATTCAAACTCTCCTTGGGACCATCTTTGCTTGCAACGTGCATCTGGCTCTTGACGGTGATGTAAGGATACGTGATCGTGGTGGCCAATATCTTGCCCAAAGCGCCCAGATAGAACGCATCCTTAGGTGTCATGCGTCTACGGCGCTCCACGATATTCTTCAACTGTTCAAAGATGGTATATTGCAGTATGGGGTTGATCACTAGGACGAGGGCTGGGAGAACTCCGGCAAAAAGGGCCGTTGGCCCTTCCCGTCGAAGCAGATCCATCAAAGTGCCAATGGTCGAAGCCCGCGTCTTCTTCTCTGGCGCACCAGGCAATGCCTGATCTTCCGCATCCGACTTGCGAGCTGTCATTCTTGTGTTCACGACCCAAATGGGATTGGTGATCAGGACTGTTGCACTTCCGGCGATAGCCCCAGCGATCATCGACTCAGCCGTGGTGAGTTTCTTGGATGCACGACCAGCTTTCACGGCCGCTTTCTCGAAGGCCGCACGAGTCCATTCGAACCAGTAATAGTATACGAAGTTAGTAACGCTTATGCCGAACAGTGCCGATTCAAGCCCGGAGTACAATCCACTGAAACCCTCACGCTGGACAATGCGGCGAACGGCGTCCGTGGTTGTGGAATGGGCACGTTTCGATTCGACCTGTGCTCTTGTAGAAAGTGTGATGAGAGGATAGCTAACAGCAAATGATCGTCAACTAGTGCTCCAATAAAGGGAGATTCAAGTAGCGCACGTCAAGACCATTGAAAGAATGCCACCGCCAGCGCCAGCTAATGCATGCGCTATGTTGTCACTTTGTTGAGCGGCAGCTGACGCTGCAACCGCCCTTTTTTGCTCTTGAATTCTAGACTGGGACATGGCGAACACAAGTCAATCACGCAAGAGATGTCCTGGTTGAGAAGTCGAAGCGTAACTGTATACAAAAGAGCGTTCGGTTCAAGGACGGATATCTGACGAGTAACCAGGGTTATAGTTCGATGCTAACGACCCCAAAGAAGGCTGAATGAGCGGATTGAGATCGATACGCAAGGTGGTTCTCAGAGGTATAATGAGATGGATGACAGGACGGTCTGTGATAAGGGTAAGGAGAAAAAGGAATGATAGAATGGGGGTCAGCTGGGAGTAATATTGATGAGCAGACTCATCAGGACGCGCGAGAATGATTCGGCTTGAAATGGAGAAATCATGACGTTTACCGAATTTCATCTGAGCCTCGGCTGTCCTTGGGCCCCCTTCCGTTCTCCGAAGTTATGATGCACTTTGTGGTGGTCGCAAATAACATGATTTATGGTTGCAACAATTTGTCCTTTCTGAATAGTCATTGTCGACTCGAATTTGTCTTTGGACTTATTTGGGCCAGTCCTAAAAGGTCCCATCTATACACGGACTAATACGGAGTGTTGTCACTGCGACAGGTTCCTGTCCAGCTCAGAATATGGAATCAGGAGTTGAGGGTCATTTTTCAAGTCTTTAATATGGATAAGGCGAGGTCTTAGCAAGAGACCGAGGTCCACAGACAGCAGGCCAGTTAACTCAGTAACCCCATATGCTTGCTCATGGTGTGTCATGCTAAGACGTTAGAAACGTTCTATGTCTCCAAGCGGCCCCAGGGTTTTCCCTCATTTGCATGTGATGGCCATTATGTTTTAATTCACATTACCCTCAAATTTACATTAGAAATATTATATAAAAGCAGTTGAAGTGGTATTCTCCGTGACTAAGAGTGGCATACTCACCTAAATTGATAAGCCAGGGCTGTCTGGTTGACAGTGTCGGAAAATCCAAATCCCAGTCAAAGCATGATAGATGTAACGTTATGCTTAGAATATATCGCCTGACGATTACCTTCCCAAAGATGGATTGAGTTCCTTTACAATTAACTCGACAAACATTAACGAGTCCAACCTCAAGAAAAGGAGAGAATAAAAGAAGAGGTGCCGCAGAAAGAGGATAAGAAGGAACCAAAGAAGAATCATAAAAGGGGCACACAGGCGAGCTTTGATAAGATAGAACGCCGGCGGAAATTAGCGTGCAGGAAAACATTTGCGGGACAGTCTAAAGGCATGGAAGAATCTTGAAGCAGTTCCAAACAGTCATCTCAAACTAACAGAGAAGGAAAGGCGGATGAGGAAACCCAGAAGATTATCTGAACGATTCGCGGTATAAAGGCAATCCATCACCGGGAGCTGGGCTAAAATACCCTTTCCGTCGCTCAGAAGTTACAACACACTTGAACATAGAACAGCATGTGTATACCATGACTCCCTTAGCAGCAACCGCCTGCGGATCCAGATTGAACTCCCTGGCCCTGACCAACCTGCACAGTCGGCTTGTTGTTAACAGTGGCAGTTCCCATACGCTCCTTGATCTGCCGAGCCATGGTCAAGAAAGCCTGCTCAACATTGGAAGCGTTCTTGGCTGAGGTCTCAAGGAAAGGAATTCCAAGACTATCGGCGAATTCCTAAACAGGTGAATCACAGATCATGTTAGGACGAAGCTAGACAGACTGAGGCGTAATTGGACGCGAACCTTGGCTACGGTGTACTCCACGACCTTCTTGTCTTCCATATCGCTCTTGTTACCCACAAGCAGCTTGTTGACCCCTTCTGTGGCGTAGCGATCGATTTCCTGAAGCCACTGCTTCACGTTGTTGAAAGAGTCCATGTCGGTCACATCGTAAACAACACAGATGCCATGTGCACCACGGTAATAAGACGATGTGATGGTCCGGAAACGTTCTTGACCTGCTGTGTCCCACTATATATTGTCTGTCAGCTATGACAGGCGGTGACGAGCCGATTTTCGGTTCTTTGTCCTTACAATCTGGAGCTTCACCGTCTTCCCATCGAGTTCAATAGTTCTGATTTTCTGGAACATCATTAATCAGTACTGCGAAGGTGCTTGTATGCTCAACGGTATGCCGGTTGCGACGAGTACATACAAAATCGACGCCGATGGTGGAGATGTAACTTTCTGTGTACGTATCATCGGCGAATCGAAGCAACAAGCAAGACTTTCCGACGCCAGAGTCTCCGATGAGAAGGAGTTTGAAGAGATAGTCGTATCTATTCCACAGGTCCAAGTGAGTTGGAGTTGTCTTTTAATTTTTGCGGAGACAATGAACGACTAGACAGGAGAGATGGAGAAATCAGGCACTCTAGTTAAATCCAGCAGTCAGTCAACATAAACAAGATAAAGGAGAAAGACATTTTCTCACTGCGCGCAGAGCGCCAGTTCTAAACCTCCTGTACTGTAGGTAGAAGGGGGGCTTACCACTCAGGATTCATGATGAACGGTGGTGGTATCTGTCAACGAGAACTAGATCGCTTCGAAGGAGGTGAGAAGTGAAAATGAAATGAAGGGGAAAGCAGAATGAAGATGAGACGGCTATATCAAAGTTAGGTGGCTAGCTACTGATGTAAGTGGCCTCGGATTGTCTAGGCACTTAGATGGACTGAAGCGGCGTTCTGAGATGGCAGTTACGTTGCTAGTAGATAGGGTAGTGAGTGGTAAGGTAGGTAGTAGGTAGTGCAGGAGAGCAGGCGAGCACAGCGTGCAAGTTACCCATGTTTTTCATCTGACCGTACCGTCCGTGACCGTTTCACGTTCAACCACCTCAGACCCATAAATTGACCTAATCTAGTCTAGTGTTTAAACACCTAACACACCTCATAAGTATCAATCAGATCGGATGTCTACCAGAAAGTTTCTAGACAAAATGGCTATGGAAACTGAATCAAGTTCAATTAGTATTCCCAGTGAGTGATAAAATAGAAGAATGCTGATGATGAGCACGAGCATGGCAATGATGAATGATACATAGTGGTCAGCTGTTAGCCTGGGGGAGGCCTTATGCCTTCACCTGACACCCCATATCTTCAAGCGCTCGTTCGATCTTCTTTAATTCTCAGTATCCCTTAGTAATAGTAGAATGCTTGAATCTGAGCATTTTGCCATGATGTAAGATAAACTGCCAGGGTCTCCAAAGCAGGGACTCCAGCTCATTGGCCTGCTCCCCACATATCTACAGATGCTTCCTCGTGACCAGGGAACTATCTCTGTCACGAATCAGTGTTATACATGCCGCTGAGTGTCCATTGCTGAGTTCAGTAGAAGGAGAAAGTAAGCCATTACTAGTGCTATCTGAGACTGCGCGGACAATGTATTTTGAGCAGTAGATACTTTTGCTTTGCCAAACTCTGAAGCTTTCCTTCATAAAATAGGTCTTCCTAACCATTGAGATGGTCAAGCACATCTGACATATGTTGCATATTATAAATGAGGACCATCCCAATATGACCAGAAATATGGGACTCCAAGATCGCGTTGCAATCCAAACTTCAAATCAAGCCTCTTAGCAGCTTGTTTGCAGCAATCAGGCATAGCCATGAGCCTGAAGCCACTCCAAAACCAGTCTTCCGTCCCTTTCTTTGTAATTTGCATTTGTTCGTATGGAGTCAGCAACGATCACCAAGGCGCGGTCATAGGGACTTGTATCCTTGTTCTGGAAGAAGGAAGCGATATCCGCCCCAATGCTATGATCTGCGAATTTCGACAGACCCATTCGCACAAAACGCTCGAAGACGACGTTGTTCGCCGAAAGTCGGGCTTCAACGGCGTCCCAATTTTTCTTCATGTACTCCCACAGAAGATGGCGGACTTTGGAGTTAGCAGCCAAAGCTACGGCACCATTGTGAACATCCTGGATCGCCACTTTGTCAGAGAAAACAAAGTCCAGATAGTCGTAGACGAGACCGGCATCTTTGACACGTCCAAGCGCGGCGAGGCAAATCTCCTTGCCATCGACCGAGTCGGTCTTGATATACTCTTCCTTCACGGAATCATATTTGTCGCGTCCACCTTCAGCAATCGTGATACCAAATATTGCCGAGCGCAAGTTCGTGTGCACTGCACTCTTGTCCTTGCCTGAAGCCCAAAGATCGAAACGCCGTTTCGCCTCAGTGACGATGCTAGAAAACAGTGAGCAGAACGTTCTTCCCCCACAAGCTGCCCATATTGGGAACCCACCTTTCATGACCCGCAAACCCAGCCATGCCGATTAGAAGCTTTCGAAGCTGCACAGTGAGATAATCTTCGTCGGACTTAAATTCCCAACCTATTTTTTCGGCGGCGGGAGATGCCAATGCGAGTGTGAATTTCTTCAATCCCGCAGCTACTGAGTCATTCTGCGAAAAGACAGAGCGCAGATTTGCGACAGACGACGAAATCTGTGACCAAACCCTGGAATGAATATGGTGAGTAGCAGTTCGAAAGCTCTTATAAATGTGCTCGGCACTAACAAGTGGTTTTCCTCCCCCTTGAAGCCTTCCAGCAGAGCTAATAATGCAGCACTAGTTCCTTCTCCCGACACAGCGAGAGCAGCAGCATCACCGATGAGGCCAATCTTATCTTCGGTACTTAACAGGTCCAAAGATCGGCCCAGCTTCGCTAGGCGGTCGGCAGGGTAGTTCGTGCGGTAGAAGCCTGACAGATCCTTATTGATTTTGTAGAATGAATCTTGACCGACGCCCGCAATAGTGTCGGATTTCGAGACGAGGGCGCGTGAATTCACGTCGGCCAGCCGGGGTCCTGATTTGAGGCCCAGCGGAATCCACCATGTCGTCATGTCCTCTTCAGGCTTTGCGTCCCCTGTCGAAAGGAATCGGTTCTGGCGAATGCTAATTTGGCCTGGCTCTTCTGCCACGGTGAGAACAGGAAAGCCAATCTTTCGGATCCACGGATCCTTTTGAGGAAGAGTTAGAAAAACACCAGGAGGCGAAGCGAGCAAGATCTGACCCACCATGAATTTATGAACATCCTGGTTGGAAGCTTGACTGAGAGCAGACCAGAGATCATTTGTAGTGGCATTGCCTGACATCGTTCTCAGCAGCGGATCTTCTGCAGACGAACCCTCAAGCCTGACTTACCGTACGCATGCTTCTTCAAGTAGTCGGCAACACCACGGAGAAACGTTTCTCGACCAAGATGATCGCTCAGCATACGAATCACCGAGCTTCCCTTCAGATAGCTGATATGGTCAAAAATCTGGTCTACTTCCAGAGCGTTCCTTACGGGAACTTCAATCGGGTGAGATGCGCGCAAGGAATCGAGCTGAAACGCTTGTTGCACCCCTTCAGCCTACGCGACCAGTTAACAACAGCCGGACAATGATATCATTACCTCGGGAATTTCGTACGACAAACTGAGACCAAACGTTCCATTCTGGTTCGTTATATTAGTTGGATGAAGTCGCAGTACATATCGAGACAGAAGCAAGGGATACTCTCTTACCGGGATAAAAATGATCAACGGCCAACCAGCCAACCCAAGTTGCAAAGCCTTCGTTCAACCAAAGCTCGTTCCACCAGTCCATAGTCACAAGATTGCCAAACCATTGGTGGGCCAATTCTGCAGTTCATTCTTAGAAAACAGCCGCATGCAATCATTGTGCGTCAAACTAAGAAACTCACCATGAGCCACGACGTATGCAATGCGGTTCTTGTAGCGTGTGTCGGATTTCCCCTCATCAAATAGAACTGCGGTCGTACGATATGTGACAAGACCCCAATTCTCCATGGCACCCATGGCCTGAGGCGATATGATCAGTGGAAGTAGAACCTTCAGGACGCATTTTTGCACCACTTACAAACTCATGAACGGCAAGAAGATCAGCCTTGGGCAAGGGATATTCAATTTCGAATACTTCCGAGAAATAATCGACGGTCCGATGAGCACATTCCAAGGCAAAACGTGCCTGTTCTTTGAGCCCTTTCGTAGTGTAAACACGGACTGGTATGCTCTTTCCGCTGTATTTGCGTTGAGTCATGGCTTCAACGTACTCGAGGTCACCAACAGCCCATGCCAAAAGCTGGACGGAGATTGTGACTAGTTAGCCTTTCCTTAGCAGATAAGGACAAAGGTATCTGTACTGACATAGGTGCTCATGATTGGGGTCCTTTCAAAGGACACAAACTTGAGGCCGGGCTTACTACCGTCTCGTTCTGACTTGATCGGCATATTGCTCAAGGCAGTTTGGCCACTGGGAACCTCGATCTCAAAATCGAAAGTTGACTTAAGATTTGGTTCATCGAAGCAAGGGAAGGCTCTTCGTGCGTCACAGGACTCGAATTGAGTACTAAGCATGTAGTAGAAGTCACCTTCTTTGGGTGTATCAGCCGTGGGCTGCGCGGCAGGCTTGTACTTTGAACGGTAGAAACCAGCCATGGCATTGTTCATCGTGCCGGTGAAGTCAATAGCTAGCACAATGTCTGAAGGCGATATCTCTTGAGAGAACACAAAGGACACTCGTTCTGACTTCTTGTCATACGTGATGTTAGACGCCTCCGCGAATTTCGTACCTGAAGTAAGAAATATGACAGTCGCCGTCAGTGGAATCTACAGCGGCGCATTGATTTAAATGTTGATTTTGCTTCTTGGACGAACCATCTTTCCCCAAAATCTCTGCTTTATGGACCTCGATCTCCTTGCAATTAAGCACAACTTCCTTGGTGGGCTGGGTGATGGTGGAATCTATCTTAACAATACCCTTGTAACCCCAAGCACCACCAAGCTCGAGATCGTATAAGGACACGTGGTAGTGCACTGGTTTAACCCTGTTACTTCGTCAACATTTGTCCACGATGTTGAAGAAGACAGGTGGTAGAGGTTGCAAAAACTTACGCGTCAGGAAGTGTATCTCTATCCTTCATTGCCATTGCGCGTACGTCAAATGAACAGTGCCTTACGAGGGATTTTGAAAGATCAAGTATGACTGGGCGAGGCAGAAATGTGCAAGAAGGAAGACAAAAGTGAGAAGAAGAAGAAACCCAGCGAGAAGAAGCAGAAGAGGGGAAGGAGGGGCGGAGGAGAGACACTGGGCGGATGGGTCGATAGCTAACAAAATGATGACAGCGGATTGCTTCAGGGATTACGCCAGCGCATCTGGTAGACACGGTGCAACACCTTCTCCCCCACATCTGTTACGAAACTGGCGACGGCTATTGTCGGGGATACTTGAAGGAGAGCTTCTGCTAATCTGCTTATCGAGACATGGAAAAGGAAGGGCGAGGATGGAACGGAACTAGGGTGAAGGATCTCTCAATGGGTCTGATAAACCCTTGAAAAATTGAAACTATGTGTTGAACATCGTATCGTTCTAGTAGTAGTATTTCTGCTACGCTAAATGAATACCTTAGACATTGTCGTCCAAGTAGACACCTCTTTTTAGTCAAGTAATTTTATGGTTGACACTGATACCTTACTATCATTGTATCCTTACTCTATGCCTAGCAATACCTCTGAGATCATCTCTATCCATCTATTCACGGCTCCGTACCTGATCAGCTATTTACCGACCTATTTAATTTTTGGAAGGGAAAGGTGATAGCAATTATAGAGTGCCTTGTGTCTCTGGAACAAACCTTTACCTCTCCGTACCTAGGTACCTTACCATTCCATGTGGATGTCATCACCTCAGAGAAATAGAGCTGAAATTTTCAATACGGAGCTATGGCGGAGTTTCGGGCAGTCCCAGAACCCTAGGAGGCTAGGTACATCTTGGCTTTTCGGCCCACTCTTTCTCGAAGCAAATCACCGATGCATTGTCCTAAGCACGAGCATTGTTAGCCAATTTTTTCAAGTCTCATGTAGATCGCTTTTGATTGACTCAATGCTCCTATCATTATCACACACTTACAGACCGACACAGTTACTCCACTCTACTCTTCGAGGAGAACATGGCTGATTCGGACGAAGAGTACGTTGAAGTTTCGGACGAAGAAAACGATGTCAATGGTATCCGATATGCCCGGGAAACGGCGCCTGTATCCCGTCCTAAACGAAGAAAGCAGCGCGGGGGTGCTGAATGGGAGGTTTCAAGGACTTGGGAGACCTTGGTCGAGGGTGCTGATGGCACAATCAGCTCTACCGTTGAAGGACTTTTAGAAGCCGGGAAAAGGAAGAGGTAAGCTTCGCTCAGAATGCAGACTCCATATGCATTTTAAGGGCCGTTGCACTGAGCAGCACCATAATCATCATCGCCTTGTAGACTTTTGAGAGATACAACACCATTGCAACGTGGTATTATCCGGCATCTCATCTTGATTCTGGATTTGTCCCAGTCCATGGCCGAGAAAGATCTAAGGCCGACGCGATATCTTCTTTCTCTGCGATATGCACAAGAATTCGTGCGGGAATTTTTTGAGCAGAATCCCATATCCCAACTTGGCGTGCTTGGCTTGAGGGATGGTCTTGCAATCCGGGTCAGTGATATGAGTGGCAACCCTACGGAGCACATCAGTGCTATACAAGCTTTGAGGGATCATGACCCCAAGGGACTTCCTAGCTTGCAGAACGGGCTTGAAATGGCACGTGGTGCTTTATTGTGAGACCTTCTATACCAGAGCCAGCACACATTTCAAGCTGACCTGGCGTCGATAGCCATACTCCTAGTCATGGAACCCGAGAAGTATTTGTGATCTTTGGATCTCTCCTTTCCTCCGATCCGGGCGATATACATCAGACGATTACCACGTTGATAAATGACAAGATCCTTGTCAGGATTGCTGGTTTGGCCGCTCAAGTGGCTATTTGTCGTGAACTCTGCTCTAGGACCAATGGGGGCGACGACACCACGTATGGCGTGGCGCTCAACGAGCAGCACTTTCGTGAATTAATGATGGATGTAACGACACCCCCTGTGACATATTCCCAAAAACAAGCCACAAGCTCCCTTTTGATGATGGGGTTTCCGTCCCGTACAGTCGAGACTTGTCCCTCTCTCTGTGCGTGTCATTCTAAACCCTCTTGCGGGGGATACTTATGTTCACGATGCAATACCAAAGTCTGTGGGCTCCCCGCTGAATGCCCCTCTTGCGGTCTTACACTTATACTGTCAACACATCTTGCGCGATCTTATCATCATCTGTTTCCACTCATGAACTGGGTTGAGGTTCCCTGGCAACATGCCTCACGCAGTTTGACATGCTTTGCCTGCGGCATATATTTCCCTACGCCACCTCCTAAAGACCAGTGGCAAGCTACGGAGTCCCAGGCAAAAGGGATGAGTGTCAGCAGTCGCTATGAGTGTACAGTTTGCAAGAATCACTTCTGTATTGATTGTGATCTTTTTGCTCATGAAATTGTGCACAATTGCCCAGGCTGCCAAAGCGGGATTAGTGGGCTGGCCATGGCTGACCGGCCCAGGGGTCAGACTGGCACAGATGAAATGGACATCTCAGCATAGTTGTTTTCTGTTTCCATTCATTTCCTAAGAGACGAAAAGTCTCCATTATATCACTATCTTGGTTTGTTTTGGATTGCATGGCTGGCCGCTTTTTCCACTCTTTGCCTGTCTCCCACCCCGCCAGCAGTTTTTTTTTTTTTTTTTCCCTCCTTTAAGTTGACTTGATTTCGGAAACTGCTTAAGAAAGACGCCTTAATACAGTATTGCTAAGTTGAGGCAGCGGGGCTTGCTAGTGTCATTTACGGAGTAGTAACTATAACTTGATAGCCGTCTGCTTAGTTACTACTAGACTTCCTTCATTTGAGGTTATCATTTGTGTTCGCATATCTAAGGTAGATATTATAAGATCTTACGTCAGAGCGACTCTTGCCTCGGCTGGAAGTCTCCCCACGTATCGCAGTTTGTCCTTTTAACTTCCTTGAGTCTCACCAGCCACAAGTCTGGCATCGAGTTGACAGCGAGGCCTTTTATTTTCAGGACCTGGACGATATCGCCCGAATCTCCAAGTATTGCAAGAATAACGGTCCAGCACATAGTAACAAGCCTTTGTGATGTCCGCCAATGGTTACTTTTCCACAAACCCCAACCCCACATCCAGACGCAATGGTGGGAAACACACCTAGTCAGGGAAGTCAGTTGGTAGAGCCGCAAGAATCAGAGATTGATCTCTTTAGAAAGCTCAATTCCTACCCGTTCAGTACAGATGTTGAATTTGCAAAAGGGCTCTCCATCATCCTCGGTCATCCCGACATCCCGGCAACTAAAGCTGAGATCGATTGCGAAGATGACCTAGTAGTACAAGCAAAATGCTTCTATTTTTCGCGGTATGTCCCTTTTAACGCACATTGGCAGGCTTACGGTTAGCATTGTTTTACTTATGTGGTGTGCTTATGCTAAAATTTGCTGAACATTAATATAGCAAAGAGCAGCTATCGCCGCCACTCGATTTCAAAAAATACAAGACCTGGCTGGGTTCGACCCCGACAGCAGAGCCCTCACCTGACGCTGAAGTCGGCAATTATGATTCTCAAAGAGCAAGCGCATCAGAGACCGCAGTACCGCCTGGCTTAGTTCCTATGAATCAGCAATCGCCCTCGATTCAAGAACCGGCTTACCCATCATCCTTCGCTCGGATTGTCGAACTTATAACGACTGGTCAGCAAATACCCGGCATTCAGCAAATACCTGACACAGTTTTGACGGGCCATGATACTCCAAGTGAGAAACCGAGGCGACGGAAACCTTGGGAAGTAGAGGATGAATTGCACGAGGGTCGGAGTCAGCGGTTGAAAATTGACGAGGACGGCCATCAGCTATTCTATCAACTACGCATGCATAGTTCCGCGGTGGAGAGCCAGCAGTCAGGTTCCTGCTTGGAGACTCCATTTTGACGCGGACTGCAGTCAAGGTGTAATCTTTCGGCCCCAACATTGTGATGCTTCCTGGGATGAGAAGCTGCTAATCTACAACAACGCACAAAGCGTGGATTTCGAGACATGCAATATCAATTCTATCATGCCAAGCTTTTGAGCTTTGCGGAGTAGTCAAGTCAGCAAAGAAGTGTTCTTTTGAAATAAGCCTCTTATCTTTGTATCTTTCACTGCGCGTTCATGGAATGACATGGCTATGTAGAGAATGGACATGACGGTCATCGAACCGCACACATTCCAGGAGACGATCCGAGATATACACTTGCCATGGGATGTTATCTTGCATAAGCCAAAGTCCCAGCATACTATCCCATACCTGCTAATATCTCTGCAATGCACTGGGATATGACTATTTCCATCATATGATCTCTCACTCAACCATAAAAGGGAACAACAGCTTGGATGTATAATAAACCAGAAACACAAAGAAAATAAAATGCACAATCTCTCGATGAGTTCAACCGGTTATCTGGAAACTCGCACAGAATATTGCCAGCCTTCAGGCACAAGAAACAACATAAGAAATTCATCCTGAATTGCTTGTTTGCCACAAGAATGTCGATAACATTTGCTGGTTCCTACATTCATACCTTGCAGTATGCGAACGGCAGTGTCGCTGTGCCTGGTCGAAATTCCTAGGGGCTCAGTCAACGAAATGGTGGATAGTTAGGATTCCACTGGTTTCCACGGCCGAATCGCCCTCCATGTTGGCCTGCCAGGTGATACCGGTCATCGTTGAGATTGCTGAAACGGCCGATCTGCATGCCCGCTCCGGGTCCGGGACGGGTAGTATGGGATGGATTGCAGCAGAGCATTGCCACGCGTGAACCAAACTTGGAACCACGCAGAGATACCATGTGCTTCCTATGATGATTGTGTGAGCCTATATTGGTAAGGGTGGAGAGAGGCAATACCGAATGTGGCTGGCGACCAATTCACGCTGATGAGGCGGAGCATTCATCAAAATCCACTGGATAAGGTAGTTCCCATATTGATCTCCAGCAACTGTCGAAAATCAACTCAGTCGGGGGAGCGAATCTAAACAGTCTGAAGAAACTTACTATCGATCAAGGGCATTCTGGGTCTATCAGTACGGCCAGTGCAGACCCGGGCAAGGTAGCGATCCAGAAATTCGGAGCCCCCTATCTTGAGACATTTTTCAACGATCTTGGAGGCAAACTGATCCATACTGTAGTCGACTGACCAGAGGAGAACGTGTTCAATGGCTCGGCTCTTGTCTTGAGGAGCGCCATGCTCACAGATGTGTTGAATGCACCAGTTTCCGAATTGACCATGGGCTAGCACATCGATCTTTGCCAATACTTCTTCAATAGCCGGACGCTACATAAACGTTAGCGCAGTTCATCATCCGATTTCAGGAATAGATATGTTCAGTCGACACAAGGCTGCCGAGATATAGATTCGCGCAGTAAGGACGACAGGGAAACAAGCGTTCCGAGCGAGGGACTGGGGAAACTGTCACCTTCTCATCTTCTACACAGTTCTCAAAAATGTTCTGGACTACTAAACTGCCAGTTTCACCCAGAGCAACTTCATGCCACATTCCTCGCAAGGCTTCATTGACCTTCGCCATAATCTGAGGAGGCTCCCCACTCCAGCGGAGCTCGAAAAGCTTCTGCCACACATGACATGCGTACCGATGAATAACCGTTTCTGGAATTCTGCGAAGAAGCTCATGAACCATGACAGCCTTGTGTTCTTCTGGGACACAGTCAAAAGCCTTTTGAACCACATGACATCCGAATGGATCCATGCTAAGGCTCAGCGTGTTGCCCTTGATGGCGTTGGCTATGGCAACGACTTGCTCCGTAGTTCCATGCTCGAAGCAACGTTGAACAAGAAAGTTACCAAAACGATTGACCATGAGCGGATACGCCTGATGTGTGATTGCTTCGATGATATCATATTTCTGCTCAGCTGTTCCAACTTTGAGCTTTTGTTGAAGAAAGATAGAGGCTTGCTGGTCGTTGTTGCAGACAATTTTGTCCACTATATATTTCCAGTCGCAAGACACATTCTTATCTAGGAGCCGACGGTAGTTGAGTGGTTCAAGAGGAGAGATATAAGTCTGCAAAGTGTTTGCGCCCACCTATCTGCTTTAGCAGAGGAGACGAGATTGCATGAATGATTATTGTTGGAAACTCACCGGAGATGTCGTCCAGGGCACCGCATTTGCGCCAGAGGAAGTAAATTCATTTGCCGTAGGCGAAAGCGAGGTTCCGATAGGTCTTTGGTAAGGTGGGATTGGGTATAGACCCACCTGCTGATACGTGCTGCACGGTCGAGTTGTAGGGGCTCGCGGAAGCTGGTTGTTAGGGGATGCAGTATTAAACGAGGCTTCCCACGAAGGATCCTGGGCTGAAAAGCAAGGTCCAGCACGATTGACGTGGGGTACTGAGCGTCGCTGAGCACTATTCGGGCTATGAAGATACCGAGCTGGATCCTCAGCGTATTGCGTAGTGGAATTACAGGTCCCGAAGGAGGGACCTGAAAGGACTCGATGTGATTGAAAAGAGCCATTTATACTAAGGTTTGCAGTAGGGTTGGTCCAGAACCTGTTGGCTTCCGGACCAAAGGTATTGCTTGAGAGAGACACATGCTCACCGTAGGCCTTTTCGCCGGCTGGAGCATTCATATGCATGCCAAATACCTGCTGGGTCTGGGGCCACCAGAATCCTCGAGCCCTGCTGTACGCACCTGCGGATAGCGCTTCTGAGACGTCTGATTGTGAATCATCATGGGTAGTCCATCTTTCATGCGGCTGCGTAAAGTTCGAGCTGGACGCGTTGAAGGCACTTTGCAAATGGCTTATCGTGTGCTCGGTGACTTCACGCCCGTTGAAGTCAGCTTCAGAGGGTGTTCCAAGAGCTTGATCCAAAGTGTGTTTCATAACTCTTGTTTGTGCGAGTTCTTGCTCCTGGAGGGCCAGCTTAGAATTCGCAGCGAGCAGTTCTTTCTTGAGGCGGAGCACTTCAGACGTCTCAGTATCAGTGGGGCCAAAGCAAGCATTATCTATGGGCTCGGTGGCATGCGATATCTCCAATGTCGAAGTGAGTGGCATCACTGCAGAATTCTTGTCGCGGTCAACTTGATCCTCGATCAAAGCACTGTTGCTTGTCAGGAGATGGTTCTGTTGCTCAAGCAAGGCTTGTTGCTCGGACAACTTCGTGAGTATCTCTCGATTCTCAACAGGCTTGAAAGCAGAGGATTGAGGCTTGGGAGAAAGTTTGGCCAATAGCTTTTCCATCTCGGAACTTCTGCTTGGGTAGGCAGTGGACGAATGCTCCAGCTTCTGCTTCTAGGTTTGTGAGACAATGGGTATCAAAGGACCTGGCAGAGAAGTGCTGACCTTATTGGATGAAACATCGACGACTTCACCAGCAGTAGGCTGGAAATTTCCGAGTTTGGAAGACACCAGAGGGTCTGGTGTGCTGTTAGGAGCGCTGGATTGCTTGCGTCCCTGTGAATATCATTAAATTGCGTTAGACTATGGTTGATTCAAGGCAACATAACGTTTCAAAGCTAAAAGTTTCTTCAACTTACCGATGTTTCACATCCAAATTGTATACACTGTGCTTCAGCTATCTGATTGCCTGAAAGGGCTTCTGTTCGCGATGGTCGGCGGTCCGTTCTAGGGGACCCGGTTGAAAGCATGGACATCTTGCCGGCCTCAGCTGCTAGTCGTACTTAAGTCTTCGCTGGCTGGTAATCTGCCGCAGCGAGTCTATGAGGTGAAGTTTTGAAGGAGACAAGAAGCAATTGTAGAAAGGTACTCAAAAAGGCAAATACGCCTGGCAATGTATGAGTATTCCAGATGTCAAGGCAAGCTGTCAGAGGGCAAATTGTCGAGAAGATGGTGTTAAGCCGAGAAATATGTTTTATTGTGGAAGAAGAGGGACGAAAGATGACAGATGGGAGTTTCTACGTGAGAGAAAGAATGGATTCTTTGGACATTAGACCTCGGAAAGGTAAGATACCTGATGCAAAATAAACTCAATAGAGTGCCGTAATGAGGAAGGAGCGCCGGAGATAGAAGATACCAGATGATGAGCAAAAAAGATAGAGAACGAAGAATAGGCAGGAGGGAAACCAAGACAAGGGATCCCTCTTGCAATGAAGTGTGCTGCAGTAGAGTACCTGAAGTAGAAGGACCACGAGGTGACGACGCCACACTTAGAGCCATGTTCAGAATCCCAACAAGAAAGAGAAGTTAAGCCTTAGAAAGCCTAGTACGAATAAATCAATCAACTGATACGTTGAGCCGAACGTGAGGCGGAACACCATCGTTTTAAGCCACATTTAAATGGAGGAGGACCTTCAGTGTTTAGATATTACATAGTACTGGAGATAGAAAAGATTCGATATCAGGCCTTACCTTTCCGGATCGACATGTCCATCCTCATAACCATGCTTGAGTTGCCTCAATACCACCAGTATCGCAGGCTGATCAAGCACCGTATTTTGAACTTTGCTCATTCAGGCTGGCATCAACGCGAATATGAGACCCGGACGATATCTGCCAAGATCGATCGAGGAAACCAGCTGCGTATGCTCCAGCGTGTCCCTGCCAACGGCAACTATCGCCAAGAATGAGAAAATCTGGTTGCCCAACACCGGTAAGGGTAGGTACAAGACGTGCAGCTTGCTCAAGACCAGACAAGTCTGCTCCCCATACGACAAGCTCGAGTCTCTCATTCTCCAAAGGGCGGAGGAAGAGGGCGCCCATGCCTCGCTCGAAGGGGAATTCATATACCTTACACTCTCGGTTCATGCTGGACTGGAGGTTTGCCTCTGTGTCTGCCTGAGGCCAACAACAACCCTGGAAGAGACTGAGTCTTTGGCCCTGTATGCGAATCGGAAATGACATATACTTCGATGAAGGTAGCTCGTTGCCCAGGGCAAGTGTGATAACATTCCCGCTATCGACAACTCGGTCCTGATTGCTGTTGGAGTTAATTAGGGAGCCGCATTGCCGTGATAGTTGGGAATCTGCAGCAAAATATTGTAGAAGATTACGACTGATTTGCACAGCTATGTGCTCAATCCCAGCTGAGCATATGTTGATGTTGAAGATGCCCTTGGTGCGCAGGATGGCATCCATAGCTCCGAGCTGACGACCATACCGCTCATTCAATTGGCGCCAATCCGCTCTCTCTGAGACAGTCCACCTCCCTCGAGAATCTCTCAAAAACCACATGCGTCCAGACCGAATGTAACCCACTTCAAAGCGATCTCTGCCGTCCAAGACTAGCGCAGAGGGCATTGTGAAACTCAAGGCTCTTGACGAAAGGTGGAAGCGATGTATATTGGTCGTATTTAGGTACCAGATTCCGTTATGCGCATCTCTAGTGACCCGCACTACTCCGTTCCTGTCAGGAGATCGCAATTGATCGACATAGATTCCACCTTTCGCAATATTTGCTGACGACGGAACAGTAATGGTGAATGTCAGAGGAAGCCTTGGTCGACGAGGAAAGGTAGCAGTTTCATTGTAGAATGCCAGAAGGGATGGGGTGGTCAATACGCCATCGAACCAGTGATTCTGACCTTGCAATTCATCATACTGTGATGGCCACTGTGTCTGTCCAAGTAATTCATGCATTAAGCGCGAATGAAACGCAGGGACATTGTCGTCAATTGAGCCGTGCTGTTGGAATATCGGGATACCCGCAACGTTGCTTAGCAGCAACTCATGTTTAAAGTTTGACCGTGACCTTGAGAGCACGAAGGAGAGCAGAGGCTCGGAATCCCGCCACATGTTGTAAGGTACATAATCTACCTATATTAGCACTCTCAGCCATTGAAACTGATATTCCCAACCTACTCTCAATGGATGAGTAGCCCGACACTGGTGCTGCGGCGATTACTTTGTCAGGATAATGGGTGGCCAAAAACCACGCCCCTTGCCCTATAAAAGTTTAAGCAAGCTGAAAAATTGGTTATTTGACAGATCCTACCTCCATTTGAATGTCCGACGACTATCCATTCTTCCTGTGATACGCTCACCATATCCCAGCCAGTACTGTCCATCCAACGTGGAATTGCACTCACAGCAGCTTCGACGTCTCCAGCACCCCAAGTATCTGTAGCCAGTCAATGAGCCTCTTCCTCAGTAATTGCAACCTCTTTCATGCCACCTAAGACGTGTAAGAGGAGAGCGTCCATATGGTCGTGAGAAGGACATAGGCTGGGAAGGAAGCAGACCCATGCAATGTGGAACATGATATTCTAGGAAGACATAGGCGGTTCAAGGTAAGGAACACGACGAACTCACGCCAATCGTCACCGCTCCAAGGGGTAACCCCACTGGGAAATAATATCCACGCGCAAGTACCATATGCTGCATCCAACATCTCACGGACTTGTACACTGTCTGCCTTGACACCTGCACCATGCAAGCCAATAATGACAGGCAAGGTGCCATCTCCTTCGGGAATAGCAGGTTCACATGTCACCGGGGGAGGGCGCAGGATGGCATAAGAGACTATGCCTGCATAATAGTATGTAAGCTTCTGGGCCTGGGATACTGATTTTTCAGCGAGTCTCAAACGGAGTGGGTAAGTTTGGAAGATCTCGTCATTCCCGCGGTGAATTTTATACAATATTTCAGCGGACAACTCCTTTTGGGACGAATCACCAAGGTAGATCCGGAACACGAGAGGTCGTGCTTGATATCCAAGCAAGTCGAGTGGCTCGCTCATCACCAGACTATGCCGGCGGCCCTAAGTACGTGTCACTCTTCTTTCGTATCTTCCAAAGAGCTAGAGAATTGACACCAACACCAATTGAGCTGATGGCAAGGACCTCAATCCGATCCGCGATGTTATTATGTAGGTTGATTGATGCCCACGGTGTGCCGAGCTTGCCACGGCACATGTCGGGCAGCAGCAGACTTTCTTTATCGACACTAAGAGGTTCATTACGTATTTCCGCGGCAAGCGACACTACGATCGTGGGCTCTCCTATCGCGCCCGAAGCTCGAACATCGCGAATAAGCCGCAGTTCAACCACATGGTCACCTGGACTTAAATCAAGAATGATGGGTACTGTGCCATAGTCATAAAAATCTCCTCCGAAATGCCGCTTGCCATCAATCACAATCTCAAGGAGCCCGCTTGTGAACATTGCCACAGACTGAGGCGCCCAATGGCTAATATTCAACGATCCGCGCGCCCAGGCCTGATATTGTAGAGCAGACCATCCATAGACAGCTCGCGTGAAGTTCCAGTCTATTTCTGGAAAACTCACATGGAGCTCCGCTCTAGCTTGCTCTGGAGCAAAGTTTTGTGTGAGAGCTCGGGCTGTTTTCCATTTGACGCTCCCATTGACTGCTAGCGCGCTGTTGAAGCTTGCATTTGTATCAAAAGAAAGGCTATGAAAACCACCATGAGATTCCAAGGGATCGGACCCCCAGACAGCCTCTGGGAGATTGCAGTCAAATCAGCTCGCAATTTTATACTTCTTTGTGTCTCTCTCAGCTAAGGGCGCTTGAAAGCGTCACGAACCTCGGGTACCACATTGGAAAGGGCCAAGTAGCTGCCATTCATTTGAGAATGAGATGGTTGCGAGATTTTGCGCAAGTAGGAGCTGAGGTGGATCATTCTCTACAAGAAGACCGCTACATACTGTGGTTCCAGAATAAAGACATATTGCAATAAGACTGGCCAGACAGCTTCGACGTGTTATCGCAGGGTGATATTCATAAATACTAGCAGATTCGACGCCAAGGTTCTTCATTATGGAGATATTCAGGTAGGCTAGTGGAATTGACGTCTCATAGGCTTCAAGTTGTGATGGTACTTGATCTGAGACTGGACATGACGTTGCTTTTGAGTATCAAAGCAACATGCAGCTACCGCCTGTAGCTAGAAAAAGCACCAGCCACGTGACATTTTGCCAGTTTGTGCAGTACCCAGATAGTCAGACTACCTGTACTATGCGAAACAGACAAAACTGAAGACGATTCACCTAATGTATAGATGCCATTCAGGCAGACAACTGACCTAGATACTAAGGTACTACTATCGTGTCTTGATGTAGTTGTCCTTGCTGGAATGTTCGCCTTTCTGGTCTAGAGATTATTATTACCTACTAGACACGGAGTCCATTGTGTTCATTGTGTACGACCGGACATCATCTAAGGCAATAAATGTAATTGCCATGACTATCTGACAATCTTTTACGCTGGGTTGGTGTCATTTGAGTGATACTCATATGAAATGAGCGATATGGCCGGAGGATGAACATACGTATATCACTAGCGGTCGATAGGGGTCAGGAAATGCTACTCAGAGCACCAAAAATTGGTAATGCAATTTGTGTAAACTATCCAATCCTCCAATCTACTCTGTAGAAAGACAGGTAGGTACCTTTAGATTTTATGGATTATGACAAGCTACATGACCACAGGACAGCCCCGGTTTCTTGGCACATGGTCTGTTGCGTGGCCCTGATCCTCAATGTTCATTCGCTACCTTCTGCCGAATTCGTGGGACTTTGTCACCCCAGCGAGAAGACCGCAAACGACTCTCTAATGAGCTATCTACCTAGATATAGGTAGCATCTTCTGGGCGCTGGGAACTAGAGCCTTTTAAACCACGCATCTTCTCACCTTGATTCTATGGATCTGGCTCTGATGATAAATGTCTTGAAGAAGGGGAACTTCTTCCAGAACAGATCAACATAGATCCAGGAGCTGCAATCTGTTCCTTGACCCATTAACAATCGTCACACAAGGTATCGTATTTCAGCCGCAATGGTCCTTTTTTTTCCTTTTTTTTTTTTGTTTGGTCCAGAAGTCCATACAACTAAAAGATGCCTACTACACAGTGCTTAAGATACCTACCCAAGTAATCGCTGGATTTGAATGTGAAACATGACTACGACCACGGTGACCGGCATCGGAAGGCGCTCATCCATACGACAGCCAGAAATTCAACCGCCAGCGAAAGCACCCAATTCCCAGTCGGTGACGAGCCCGATAGATCAATTTCCACCATTTGACGAGGGCCTCTACCAAAAGACAACAGAGTCGGGAGAGCCCCAGTCGAATCCCACATCAAAACATGAGCCGAGCGATCATTGGCAGCCGCGGAAGGCAGGCTATCTACCTCGAGACTATACCAAAGGACCAATCCGACCTCCGAAACACAGGTCGAGGAAAAGCATTAGCGAAGCAATTACCACGATTAGAACACGCAACGCCAGCGTTAGTGCCAATGCTCAGGAATTGGCTCAAGCGCTGCGAGCGCCGGTCTCGTATCGATTAATTGTAAGATCATTCGCTCTCGCTGTTCTTCTATTCTGAGACTAATCTTTGTCGAGGTACTTTGCCTTATATGGTATATGACCTCTGCTACTACGAACACATCTTCCAAATCCATTTTGAATGCTCTTCCCAAACCGATTACTCTCACGATCGTACAGTTTGCATTTGTCTCAATATGGTGTCTGTTGTTGGCATATCTGTCGGCGATCTTCCCCTGGCTTAGGAACAACGTTCCGGCTCTCAGGAATGGCATACGCTACCCGTCCCGCGATGTTATCGTAACAGCCTTGCCCTTGGCAATTTTTCAATTGGCTGGACATATACTCAGCTCAATGGCTACTTCTCAGATACCAGTATCACTGGTTCACACCATCAAAGGCCTCTCGCCCCTTTTTACCGTTCTAGCATATCGTGTGTTCTTTCGCATCCGATATGCCAAAGCCACTTATCTATCTCTTGTTCCGTTGACCCTAGGCGTCATGCTCGCCTGTTCTACTGGGTTTTCGACAAATTTCTTTGGCATCCTTTGCGCATTACTGGCTGCATTAGTTTTCGTCTCTCAGAATATCTTTTCCAAAAAGCTCTTCAACGAAGCTTCCCGCGCAGAGTCGGAAACTCAGGCAAGCGGTCGAAAGAAGTTGGACAAACTAAATCTCCTCTGTTATTGCTCGGGCCTCGCCTTCGTCCTAACGTTGCCAATTTGGTTTATCACTGAAGGTTATCGATTGATCTCAGATCTCATGCAAGATGGTGCCATCTCTTTATCAGGGAAAGATAACTCTTTGGATCACGGTGCGCTCTTCGCGGAATTCGTATTCAATGGGATCTCACACTTTGCGCAAAATATTCTGGCGTTTGTTTTGCTATCAATGATATCCCCAGTGTCCTATTCCGTTGCTTCTCTGGTCAAGAGAGTCTTCGTCATCGTCGTCGCGATCGTATGGTTTGGCAGCTCCACAACTCGTTTACAAGCTTTCGGTATCGCACTCACCTTCGTTGGACTGTATCTCTACGATCGCAATAGTCATGATGATGTGGCAGACCGAAGAGCAAATGCCGATCATTTTCGCACCAAAGAAGCCATTCTTCCCTTAAGTGTTCAAACAAAGAGAACGTGGGATTCGAATGGCTACGCCTTTCCGCCGTCGAGAACCGATGAAACTCACTTTATGGACAGCTCTGCTGCTTTGGCGGCGAATTCGAAAAAAGAAGACGACGCATTCGATCATGTTCGGCCAAGGGGAAGCAGCACGTCCAGGACATGGCTACCACCTGGTACAAAACAAGAGTCAACTTGGCAGTCAGGCGACGCTTAGTAGCATGGGGAATGTACAATATAGATCATGGATATATTTTTGTTTACTAGAGCATTCTTCTTTCATCGAAGTGTAGTTTTTGATTGCACATAATCCGACTTGAGGGTCTGAATTTTTTGTCGCTTGTATTCACATTAAAGAAACTGAACTCTTTAATAAACAATTCTTGCTCAGTATGAGACGAGGTCTCTAAACTAGATACCGGTGGACTTTGCACCAATATTAATAAAGAAGCAGAAGATGAAATTAAAATTGTGTCAGCCGATAGCCATAAGATATATTTGGTTAATATCTGGGACAAAATTATGTTGCAACTGTCGGTAAGGAACTATGCCATCATGAGGCAGTGCCACCATTATGGCGGCGGTAACCCTAAGCAGCTCCAGCTCAGTGCCTCTGGTCTTGGGTCATGTAGCAGAGGAGAGAGGTATTGACAATGTCCTGCCTCCTACAATAAATCACGCCCGTGAATGAGTTTTGATGATAAAAAGCAGGGGAGGAACCTGAGCTTGAGGGAATTCTTTTAAAAAGGTAAGATTCGGAATAATGAAGGCTCCGTGCACCCGAACCAATCCGCAGGCGGCAATTTGCGAGTAATAATGTTTGAACCAGCGTCTGCCAGAATCCGACAGCAGCACGCCAAAAGTGGTCCTAACAAGAACAACCTCTGCCAACGCTTCGCTTCTGCCACCCTTCTCTCCTTCTCCATCATCCCGGGTTCTTTCTATTTTTACCTTCTCAAGACATTTGATTTCAATCTCACTATGCGGCCGCAGTTGTTTCGTGCGGCCGCCCGGTCCTTCCGGGTCCCTAAATTCAACAAGCACAGGACCTTCGCGACGACAACCCCTCGCTCTGCTGGGGTGGAACTCACAATCGGTGGGATAGACTAAGTAGTCTGAATTGACGAGAATCTTTGCGCTGACATTTCTGAATCAGATGGCAAAAAGGTTTCAGTGGAAGGTCGCTCGAATTCCTATGGCCCGATGCTAGTATCCCTGCTGACACCGAATTATAGCTGGCTCGGCCCTCATTCAAGCTTGTGAAAAGGCAGGCGTGACAGTTCCGAGGTATGAATGATTGAACAATTACGAATTGGCCAATGTGACTGACGAATTGGCTACAGATACTGCTATCATGAGTATGGCTTCCTCGCGCATTTTAGCTAATAACCTTGCTAACATAATAAACAGAAAACTAATGATTGCAGGAAATTGTATGCCTCCTCATCAAAGGCGCGTTTCAGTTGATTGAGTTAACTCTAAGTTCCTAGGTCGTATGTGTCTTGTCGAAGTTGAACGTGCTCCCAAACCAGTGGCATCCTGTGCTTGGCCTGTGCAGCCCGGAATGAATGTCAAAACAAACTCGCCGCTCGTGCATAAAGCCAGGGAGGGTGTTATGGAATTTCTACTGGCTAATCATCCCCTTGATTGTCCTGTCTGCGACCAGGGAGGTGAATGTGATCTTCAGGACCAGTCAATGCGCTACGGAGCTGACCGCGGTCGGTTCCACGAGGTTGGTGGAAAGCGTGCAGTTGAAGATAAGAATATCGGACCCCTCGTCAAGACGTCCATGAACCGGTGTATACACTGCACTCGCTGCGTTCGGTTCATGAATGATGTAGCTGGTGCTCCGGACCTCGGAACTACCGGTAGAGGTAACGATATGCAGATTGGGACTTACCTGGAGAAGAACCTCGACTCCGAGCTCTCCGGGAATATAATTGATCTTTGCCCTGTTGGTGCTCTAACGTCGAAACCCTATGCTTTCCGTGCTCGTCCATGGGAACTGAAGCACACCGAGTCTATTGATATCCACGATGCTATGGGCTCCAATGTCCGGATAGATACTAGAGGCATGGAAGTCATGCGGGTGCTTCCGAGACTGAATGACGACATCAATGAAGAATGGATCGACGATAAATCTCGGTTTGCATGTGACGGTCTGAAGACCCAGAGACTGACAACGCCATTGATTCGGAGAGAGGGAAAATTCGTTCCTGCAACATGGGAGCAAGCCTTAACTGAGATATCTAGCGCTCAGCAGAAACTGCAGCTGAAGGAGAATGAATTCAAGGCTGTAGCAGGCCATCTAGTCGATGCCGAGTCGCTTGTGGCGATGAAAGACTTAGCTAACAAGCTTGGGTCCGATAA